GAGATTTCCACCTGCTCATGCACAAAGTTTTCCCTGACGTTCACATCGAGCCGTATTTTATCAAGTTGCCACTTCTGACGGCTCACAGCTCAACGAAATGGTCATGGCAGTGGTACCCCACCTTCATGCTCCATGAGATGTTGGAGTTCATCAGCGCTGGAGGCACCATCCAAGAACATGTCAGTCTTATAGGTACTGGTGGAGCCGAGTCTGTGCGCTCCTTCTGGTGCCACGCTAACCAATGCGAAGGCCTCGTCGATCTCTGCATGCATATCGATGGGCATCCGATTCCTCTCATCATTCATTACGACGGGGTTGGCATGTTTCGAAACACGGAGATTGATGTTGTATCGTTTTCATCGGCCATGGTGTACGACAAAGGAGGTTCGATATTCGACAAGAAGTTCCCGCTGTGTATTCTGAAGCACAAGGCCGTGCCCGATGATATGAGAGATGAGGTGCAAACCATCCTTGCGAAGTTCATGGCGTTCGAGCAGGAAGTGTTGCTATCAGGTAAGCATCCATGCGAGGGCTTTTACGGTGAGGCCCTCAAGCGAGCGCACACTGGCAAACCGCTGGGCGTTCGCGCTTGTCTGCTGGGGTGGCACGGCGACTTCAAGGCGAGAAAAGAGTGTCATTGCATGCCGTGGTATTACCGCACAAAAAGCATTTGTGACCTCTGCGAAGCCCAGCAGACGTCAGCCAACGCTGACCCCACGATGACCTTCAGAGATTTTCGGTCGACGGCGAAATGGCGAGATACCGTTTACACGCTGGGACAGCTCAACAGTATGGTGCCGTCACCGTGGTTTAAGATCAGAGGCTTCAAACATGCGCAAATTTTCATGGACGAGATGCATCTTCTCTGGCTGGGGATCTGCCAGATCATCGTTGCAAACGTGATCATTCATTGGCTCGATGGGGGTCAGCTTCGCGAGTGGGCCAAGGCTCGGGCGTGAGAGCGTCCAAGACTGGGGGGGGGAGGGACGGATGGGGGACGGCAATATGAGGCGGGCCAGCGAGGGAAGGCGGGGGGACCAGCGAGCGGAAGGTTGAGGAGGGGTAGGAGGACCAAGGAGGAGAGCGGGAAGATTTGTTTCGGTCCCAAAGGCTCGTGGCAATGATGATCCGTTGGGTGAGCTATGGCTTGACTTCAGGGCGTTCGCTGATGCACACGGCCTGAAACTTAGTTCGTTTTGCTTTTTCACGCTCCGCCATTTGGGCAGAGGCGACGGCAAGAGGAACCACCCCGAAGTGACCTCGATGGTTTCAGCCGAGAGCGTGAAAGCTTGCGTGATCTACTTAGCTCATGTTGCACACCAAATTGAAGCAACCTCGTTCGAATGTAAAGTAATTCGGTTGTTGCTGTGGAGCTTGTACAGCATGCTTAGGCTGATGGATTCGTCCCCCATGTGGCTCCCCAGTGACACCCGCAGGACGCTTCAGCGTTATGTTCGCACAGTGCTTCTAGGCTGCCAACACATGTCGTCTTGGGCTCTGTCGAATGATGTCGTGGCGTGGGACCTAAGGCCGAAGCACCACTACCTAGATCACGCTGCCACCAACCTAGACGTGTTACCTCTGAACTGGAATGTACATGCATGCTGGGATTCCGAGAAGTGGCTGGGCAAACTGAAAATGTTTGGCAAAGCAACGCACTCTGCAAAGGCCGTGGGCCTAAGGGGCTTACAGAGATACGTTGCATTCCTGAAAGTACGGTTTAAGAATAGGGGTACGTTTAACAAACCAGATATCTAGCTGCAATCGCCGCAGCTCTGTTGCATCAGAAAAAAAAACGAGGGGGAAGCGACGAGCGAGGGGGGAGAGGAAGGGGAGACGTGGGAGGGGATGTCGGATGCGGCCACCAGGAGGGAGGGGCGAGGGGAGGGAGAGGGGAGGGGGAAGGGACCGAGGAGAGAGATAGGGGACCGCGATAGGGCAGAGGGGGAGAGGAACGGGGAGACTGCACGGAAAGAGCGAGGGCAAGGCACAAGCGAGCAAGAGCGGGAACGAAGACCACCACCCCCGCCCCCCCCGCGCCCCCCCCCCGACGCCCCCCCCGCCCGCCGCCCCCGCCGCTATTTACTCGGGATCACCTTCACTGCGAAGGCTGCGGGCCTGCGAAGGCTGCGGTGCCCGACTTCTCTGGCCGTCCTCCCCGCTCCTCCCCCCCCCCCCTCTCCCCTCATCCTCCTCCTCCCTTTTCCTCATCCTCTCCTCCACTCCTCCTCACCTCCTCTCCTGCTCCCCCTCTTCCTCCTCCTTCTCCTCCTGTGCCTCCTCCTGCTCATGTCTCCTCCTCCTGTTCCTCCTCCTCCTCCTCTTCCTCCTTCTCCTCCTCCTCGTCCTCCTTCCTCCTCCAACTCCTCCTACTCCTCCTCCCTCTCGTCTTTCTCCTTCTCCTCGTTTTGCTCCTCCTCCTCCTCCTCCTCTTCCTCCGCCTCCTCCTTCTCTCCTCCTCCCCGCCTCCTCTCCTCCGCCTCCTCAGCATCCTCTTATCCTCCTCCTTCCTCCTCCTCCTCCTCCTCCTCCTCCTCCTCCTCCTCCTCCCCCTCCTCCTCCATGTGTTTCCGCGCCTCGTTCCTCTGCCTCCTCCTCCTCCTCCTTCCTTTCGCTTCCTCCCGTTCGAAATAAAGAAGGAAGTTCAGAATGTCATTTTGTTTCAAACGTTCCTCCTCCTATCTTTCCTCCTCCTCCTTTTTCTCCTTTTCCTCCTCCTCCTCCTCCTCCTCCTCCTCCTCCTCCTCCCCTCTCTCGTCCTCCTCCTCCTTCCCTATTACAACTAAATTAGTATATATCTATGTAAATATATAGTAGTATTACAATTTTCTTGTTCTTCGTTTGCTTCTTGTGTTTTTTTGCCGCGGCCCAGCCCGAAAGGGCAGGAGGGCGCTCGCGTGCGACGGATCGCACGATTTTTGGCAACATATGGTAAGCCAAAAATGCGTTGATTTATAATCAACGAATCAACGCGGCCCAGACGCATTGATGAGGATCTCAGCTGGCATGCAGTCCAGTTGCCATGCGGGCCTCGCCGCGCGATGGCCCCCCCGCCACGCTTAAGCACTCTGAACCTGCCCGGGTCTGCAGGAACACTGCTCCTGCGAGGGGACGCAGCAAAGGGTCATCCGGCCAAGCCTGGGTCACCACCAAGACGAGGCCAGGACACGGACAACATCGGACCGGGAATTCGCCGGCCCAGCGGGCCAGAGACGTGCTAAGATCTCCGGTAACTGGTTGACGATATTTCTAGTTCGCGCGCGCGGGGCGGCCCCTGGGGGTCCCCCGGCGAAAAGTATTCCGACCGCAGCCCGACCAAGTCTACCCAGAGATTGTTTTGAGGGTTTTTTTTCGACACCCCTCACGCGGTTCGTGGCCTCCGAGGGGGGTGCACTCGACTACCCCGCTCCAAGAGGCATCCAAGAGCCCCCCAAGAGGCCCAAGGGGGCCCCAAGACGCCGCCAAGAAGCCCCAAGAGACCCCTAAGAGGCCCCCAAGAGGCCCCTAGGAGGCCCCAAAGAGGCCCCCAAGGGGCTTCAAAGAGGCCCCATTGAGCGCTCGAGGGCCGGCGGAATGAGCGAAGCGATTCAATAAACTTGGGTTCTCCGAGAGGCGGCGGCTCTGGAGGATCTGTCGGGCGCCGCACCCGACCGAGAGCGCTCGGGAACGCTCTGAGCGCGTTGGGGAACGCTCCCGAACGATCTACCGCGCGGACGCGGCCGCAAGAAACTCTCGCGAGAGACCCAACCGCGAAGACCCGCGCGAAGAGGTGCGACTGGGCGGGGAGCCCAGAACGCAGCGGCCTCTTCCACGGCCATGGCAGGTCACCGCGCAGCGCGCGGAGCGAAGAAGCCCGGGGTGCCCGGGCGGAAAAAGCACCTGGTCCCTCGATGCCCCGTCCCCGCTGCGTCCCTGTCCTGGCTCCGCGGGCCCTGTGGTGAGCGGTCCTGGGCCCCCGGAGTCGCCCCACAGGACGAGGTCGTCCTCCCGCACCGTTCCCTGGCGCTCCCCAGGGGCACGCAGAGGGCCTCGCGAGGGCCCGAGAAAAAGGCGAACAAAAACCTCAGGGCACGTATCCCTCAGCCGGACCCGCTGCCCCAGGCTAGGCCTCCCAGATGGGGTCCGAGCAGACGGGGCAGAGGGGTCGCGCCGCACCGCCACTGCATCGCCAATGTAAGGGCGACGCCTCAGCGATTCATCGGCGACGTCGGCGACGCATCGGCGACGCAGGCGTAGGGAAACACGGGGGGGCCCAACCAGCGCCACCGGGAGCCGAAAATCGTACAACACGTGCCGCTGCGAGCCCTGACACCCACCGAGAAGATCCTGTCGATTCGCAGCACCTGGGGTCGGGCCCACTCCCCCAGGGCCAATTCTTCGCCCAGATCCATGTATCATGGCCCGGAAACCCGATGACGGGCCCCAGAGGCCCAAGTCGAGGACAACACGCGGGCTGGGAAACGCATGTCGGAGAGCTCTGGGAATCTTCACCGACGGCGAGAGCGGGTCTGGGAACCTCCTTGAGGTCGACCTCGAGGAGGAGGAAGGGAGAAGGAGGAGGAAGAGGAGGAGGAGGAGGCAGAGGAAGAGAAGGAGGCAGAGGAGGAGGACGAGGAGGAGGAAAAGGAGGCAGAGGGGGAAGAGGAGAAGGAGGAGAAGGAGGCGGAGGCGGAGGAGGAGGAGGGGGGTCGGAGGCACGGGGAGGAGGATCAAGGGGAAGGGAGGAGGGAGGGGAGGCGGAGGAGGAGGAGGAGGAGAGGGAGCAGGGGACGGAGCAGGAGGAGGAGGGCGGAGGCAGAGGAGGAGGAGGAGGAGGAGGAGGAGGAGGCGAGGCAGGAGAGGAGGAGGGGAGGAGGAGCAGGAGGAGGAGGAGGAGGAGGAGGAGATGGAAGGGAGGAGGAGGAGGAGGAGGAGGAGGAGGAGGAGGAGGAGGAGGAGCAGGAGGCGGAGCAGGAGGAGGAGCAGGAGTCGGAGGCACGGGGGGCCAAGGCTTCGCCCGCCTGCTGCAGCGGCTCGCGGAGCTGGTCGAGGGACACGTGGCAGCGCCTGGCCGGGCTTCGGAGGGGGCACGCTGCTGCTCCGCCTGCTGCTGCTGCTGCTCCTCTCCTCCTCTTCGGGTCCTTCGGCCCCTTCCCCCCGCAGAAGCTGCTGCTCCCCAATTCCTCCTCCTGCTCCTGCTCCTGCTGCTCCTCCTCCTCCTCCTCCTCCGAAATCCTCCATCCTCTCCTCCCTCTCCTCCTTCCCTCCTCACTCCTCCTACTCCTCCCACCTTCCCCCTTCCCTACCACCTCCACCTGTCGGGCGGACGCTGACATTCGAGTAGGAAATCGACTACAACGTTGACGAACCCCAGTACTTTATTATCGAACCTACACGCAATCATCACAAAGTCCGTTGATCTACAAGCAGTATACGTAATCGTTTCTTAGACCCGACGAACAAATTCATCCTGGGGGAAGAAACCTTCAGTCGATCTCCGACTCGAGAAATGGATGAGGAATCCACGGATTTTGCAAACTGCCACCCGTACCATGGTTTTTTTTTTTTTTTATTTTCGGCTCCACTTGCCCACTCTCCCTCCCTTGCCTCACCCCTCTTCCTACTCTCCTGACTCCTGCCACTCCATCCTTCACCGCCTCCTCCTCCTCCTCCCCCGTCTCTCCTCCTCCTCCTCCTCCTCCTCCTCCTCCTCCTCCTCCTCCCCGTCTTCCTCCATGCCTCCCCATTGGGGTGGAGAACCTGAGGGCTGTCAGTGATGGTTACCATCTCGCCTTTTCGCTTATGACGGGCTGCTTCGGCCTCAAGGTGGCTCCGAGATCGCAGAAGGTAAGACACAAAGAGAGCCCAGAAGAGTTACAAGACGGCTCCTAAGGACCCACTAGGCGCCTGCAAGGCGTCCCACCAGGGCTCGAAGAGGCGATGGTTCGGGCAAGCAGGCTCCAAGAGACCACCAAAGGTCTCGAGGTTCACCGCTGTCGGCCCCTTCGTCTCATGAAAGCGCACTTCCCTTCTTTGGCCAACTGCCCTGGGCATCGTGTCTGGATGGGCTGGTGGGGACACGCGAGTCGTCGAGCACTAGAATCGAGTCGCCCGACGTGTCGTCGTTGCTTCGAGGTCCATGACGTAAGCTGTCCACTGCACCCCGGCCTCCGCGCCGCGGCGGCCGCCCCCCTCCCCCCCCCACATGTCCCGTCACGAGTCGCGCTGGCGCCGTTTGGGCATTGGCCGTTGCTTTGGACGCCCGAATGGGCACGGAAAGAATGGGTACACTGTCCAACAACAAAAGTTGTCCCAAACCAACAGCGGCCGCTGCTGAGCAGGCTGCCTCCTGTCTCAAATGGACACAGGCCGCGGCTGCGCGGACAGCGAGTCCTGTTCAAAATGATCAGGACCTGCTGTTGGGCATCGTACCCATTCTTTCCGTACCCATTTCGGGCGTCCAGAGTTGCTGAGGATTCCCAGACGGCGCCGGCGCGAATCGTGACGTGGCTGGGCCCCTCCCCCCCACCACCCGCCGGGTGACGCCCCTTATCGCCTAAGGGTGCGTCAAACGGCCTCAGATTCGCGTGGGCCCCCGTTGTTAATTTGCGCGCGCGTCGTTGGCTGGTGTCCTGCGGAGGGCTATGGTTAGGTCGGGCGTGTCCTCCTACAGCCGGATTTTGGAGGACAAATGTGAAGAATCCAAAAATTCTAAAGAATAGGCCAACGTATTCAAAAACATCGTCTCCATAGGATTGTTTGACTATGTATGAAATTCCGCCTGTAGAGGGACAGGCCCGACTTAAGCCCAGACCCGGAGAGCGCGGGGCCGCAACGCTGGCCTCTGGCCCTTCACGATCTCCACGTCGTACCTGACGCGGGGGCCCCCGTCACGGCCTCGGCGGGCGCGCGGGCGCGCGGAGGGGGGGGAAAGCGGAGGCGAAGTCCAGGGGACCCCAACAGTAGGTCGGGCATGCCCCCCTACAGGAAGACGTTGAAGGACAAATAAAACAAATAGTCAACAAATATTGTAAATAGTCACAAACAATCAAAACATCGTCCTCATACTATTTTTCTACTGTTTTTGGATATTCCACCTGCAGAGGGACGTGAACGACTTAACCCAGACATTGCGTGCCGCCCTGACGGGAACCCTGTGCTGATCCAGGCTAGGCTGTGGCCAGTGCCGGAGGGTGTTGGACCTTCTGCGAAGAGTGGCGGCGCTCCTCCTTCTCTCATGCGCCGTCCCGCGAGAACGAGGCGCTTTCCCGTCGACTTCGTGTCACTGTCCTGCGCGCTGCCAAAGCACCCAGCGCTGGGCACCAACCATGGTGGGGAGGAAACGTCTGGAAACAAAATAACCCAAGACCCCCTATAGAATAAGAACCCCGGGGGGCAATCAAGTTCAGGGTCCCAGGGGGATAGTAAACGATTTCTCCCGGCAAATCGCACGTGGGATGTATGACGAGGAAAGAGGAGGTCGTCGCCGTCGCCGTTGTCGCACGAAGACGACGTCGACGAGTTGCCGCCACTTCCACCGCCCAGTTGCCAGGGGGCGCGTCTGGGCCCCAGGGCCGCCAGAAAAACGGATCACGGGGAGAAGCTGGTCACCAAGAGCGGCGCCGAGAGTCCTCTGCAGCAGTCTCCTCCTCTTCGTCCCCCTCCGCCTCATCCAACTCTCCTGACTTCCACAGCTAGCGCCCTCCGTGCTTCCCGGGTTCGACGTGCCCCGCAATCCTGGGCTCGTGCGTTCCCTGCTTCCTGGGCTCGTCTTTCTCCGCTCTGGGGTTCGCGCCCCCGTTTCCTGGGTTTTGCCTGCTTCCTTGGGTCGAGATTTTCCCCCCGAGATGGCCCCCTGGCACGCCAAAGACTGCCCCACGAGAGCCCCAAACAGCCCCAACATGGCCCAAACGAGTTCCTCAAACAATGAAGACGCAAATTGTCACATGTCACGGCCTCTGCCTCTTCCTCCTCATGCTCCTCCTCCTCCTCCTCCTCCTCCTCCTCCTCCTCCTCCTCCTCCTCCTCCTCCTCATCCTCCGCCTCATCCTCCTCATCGTCATCATCATCATCATCGTCATCAGCAGCAGCAGCATCAGCAGCATCAACATCATCAGCATCATCATCAACATCAGCATCGTCATCATTAACATCATCATCATCATCATCATCATCATCATCATCATCATCATTTTTTTTTTAATTTCATCATCATCACCATCACCATCACATCACCACCATCACCATCACCATCACCATCATCAGCATCAGCATGAGAATCGGCATTCACCAGAGATCACAGTATCATCATCAGCAGCATCGGCATTCAGCAGCATTATCATCACCATCATCACCCATCACCATCCCCACACCATCACCATCCCATCACCACACCATCACCATCACCATCACCATCCACCATCACCCATCACCATCAACCACACCATCATCATCATCATCATCATCATCATCATCATCATCATCATCATCATCATCATCATCATCATCATCATCATCATCATCATCATCATCATCATCATCATCATCATCATCATCATCATCATCATCATCATCATCATCATCATCATCATCATCATCATCATCATCGGGCCTTGGGCGGCCGCGCAGGAGGATTCTCCAGACTCTCCAGAATGTGCGGCCCGCGAGGCGCAGCCGAGATGGCAGACACCGCGGGGCCCGAGGACCTCCGGAACACTGCTCGGCTCCGTCCTGCCCACTCCGAGGAGGTCGGGGACTCACTGACCCGGGTCCATGCAGACCCGAGTCGGTCAGGCTTCGCAGGATCCCGCAAGATCCTGCAGGCCTCCTGCAGTCTTCTGCACCCCAATGCCCGGGTCGATGCGCCCCTGGTTCTCCCTGTGCAAATTCCCGGCGCGATGCGCCCCCGGCCCGGCAGGATCCTGCGAAATCAGGCGCTCTGCCTGACCCCCACTTGCATGGACCCCCGCCTCTCGAGCCCTGGTGAGGCGGAAGATTCGTGGGCACCGGGCCCCGGGGGGGGGCAAACGCAAAGCTGGAAGCGGCGACGCAGCACCGCCAGATCGGCGACGGGCCCCCGACCGCGAATCGGGAGGTGCGTGGGCGGGGTGGGCCAGCAGAGGCCCCCATCGGCGATCGCTCCTCGGGCGGCCGACCGGGATGATCTGAGCACCCCTGGAGCGCTCTCGGCGAGACGTATCTGCGGGGGAGCATCCCGAGGACGGAACACCGTCGAGAACCAACAACAACAACAACAACAACAACAACAACAACAACAACAACAACAACAACAACGCCTGAGACCCTCGAGCCTCGAGCCCGAATGGCTCCCCCCCTGAGCCTATCCGCCCCTGACGTCGTCCCTGCTCCTGTCCAGCATGGGCAGGAGCTGACGCCACGCCTTTGACTCGCCCATATCCACGAGCAGCCTGTGAGCGTGCCCTCTGAAGACCAAAAGTAAGGCTCCACGTAGACACCCCCCGCCAGCAGGGAAAAAAACAGCAGCGCGCACTGGCAGCGAGCGCGGCGAAAATGATGAAGTTGACCAGACAAGGACACGGTGAATGGTTAAAGGAAAGGTGGTGCGCGATCCAGCTGCAGGACTGGCGAGGCGACTGGCCTACAGGCAGAGAACAGCACCACTGAAGGGCAGGAGCTATGAACGTCCAGCGCTTCGCGAGGTGCTCGGAGGCACGTCCCTAGGGGAGCGGAGAATGACATGAACATGGTAACTCGGAGGACCGCGCGGAGTTCTCGGATCGGCGCTGGACCCCCCTCCATGGCGCGCGGAGCGCGCCAGGGGCGCCGCCAGGGGTCCAGCACCGATCCGACAAATCCGCGCGGACCTCGGAGTTTTGAGGAGGACGAGAAGGAGGAGGAGGAGGAGGAGGAGGAGGAGGAGGAGGAGGAGAAAGAAGAGAAGGACGAGGAGGAGGAGGAAGAGGAGAGGAGGAGGAGGAGGAGGAGGAGGCGAAACAGGAGGAGAAAAAGAGGAAGGAGGAGGACGAAGCGGAGGAGGAGGAGGAGGAGGAGGAGGAGGAGGAGGGGGAGGAGAAGGCGGCGAAGAGGAGGAGGAGGAGGAGGAGGAGGAGGAGGAGGAGGAGGAGGAGAAAGAGGAGGAGGAGAAAGAGGAGGAGGAGAAAGAGGAGAAGGGAGGAGGAGGAGGAGGAGGAGGAGAGAGCGAGGACTAGGACAGGAGAAAGAGGAGGAGAAGGAGAATGAGGAAGAGGAAACAGGAGGGAGAAAGAACGAGGGAGGAGGAGGAGGAGGAGGAGGAGGAGGAGGAGGGGAGGGGGTGGAGGAGGAGGAGGAGGAGAGGAGAAGGAAGAGGAGGAAGAGGAGTGGGAGGAGGAAGAGGAGGAGGAGGAAGAGGAGAAGAAGGAGAACGATGTGGAGGAGGAGGAGGAGGAGGGGGATGATGATGATGCTGATGATGATGATGATGATGATGAGAATGATGATGATGATGATGATGATGATGATGATGATGATGATGATGATGATGTATGATGATGATGATGATGATGATGATGATGTATGATGATGATGATGATGATGATGATGATGATGATGATGATGATGATGATGATGATGATGATGATGATGATTGCTGATGATGATGATGATGAGAGGAGGAGGAGGAGGAGGAGGAGGAGGAGGAGGTGGATGAGAAGAAGAAGACGAAGAAGAGGGGGGGAGGAGAAGAAAGAGGGGGAGGAGGGGGAGGAGGGGGAGGAGGAGGAGGAGGAGGAAGATGAGGAGGAGGAGGAGGAGGAGCAGAAGGAGGAGGAGGAGGAGGCGGGCCCTCCCGTGCCGCCCCTGCGGGCCGTGCGAGCACCTTCGCTTCTTCCTGCCAGGGGGCGGCCCCAGCGAAACGCCCAGGGGAAGGGCGTCGGGGGCACGGGGCCCAGAGGGCCGCAGCGGGGCGCAACAAAAGAACCTTTACAGTAGGGGCTCAACCACAAACGATTATGGTACGGGGGCGTCACGCTTTCCATCGTAGGACCATCGAAACCCAAGAAACCCAGGGCACCCTAGAGGCAAGCAGGGTGTTGCTTGGCATCCATTGTAGCGAGCACAGCGTGACCGACCCCTATCCCAACGGGCGTGGCCTGGGCCCCAGTGATCGATGTACCCCCCTACAGATGAGGGGACACACGCTGTTCCATTCGGGTTTCGCGGAGCATGTCCCCAACTTCGGGGGCGAGCCTGAGGGGACGGTGAGACGGGGCGGGCCTTCTCAGAAGGCTCGGAAATCCCCTGGCCTTCTGAGAAGTGTTCCCCGACGACACCAAAAATGTCTCAAAGGACGGAGCGCATCCGTCAAGCCCCGCCGCCTTCGGAGAAGGCCTTCTCCTTCTCGCGTTCCCCCCTCGCTCGCCGCCGACAACTGGGGTGGTGGCATGGTGGGGATCGGGATGCGGATCGGGCTGGGGATGGGGATTGTTCAAACGATACTGACCTGGGGTGAGGAGGAGGAGTAGGAGGAGGAGGAGGAGGAGGAGAAGGAGGACGAGGAGGGAGAGGGAGGAGGGAAGAGGGAGGAGGCGGAGGAGGAGAAGGAGGAGAAGGAGAAGGATGAGGAGGAGGAGGAGGAGGGAGGAGGGAGGAGGAGGAGGGATGATGAGGGGGGAGGAGGAGGAGGAGGAGGAGGAGCGGAGGAGGAGGAGGAGGAGGGAGGAGGGAGGAGGCGGAGGAGGAGGAGGAGGGCGGAGGAGGAGGAGGAGGCGGAGGAGGAGGACCTGCGCCACGCTCACCTCCAGAAGGCCTCGGGAGCGCTCCGAAGCTCTCCAGAGCGCCCGGCGGCATGCGAGGCTCTCTGGAGGCCTCCGCGATGGCCTCCGCGGCTGCCTCTCGAAGGCTGCCTCTCGAAACCCTTCGAAGGCCTTCGCGAAGGCCTTCGCGAAGGCCTTCTCGAAGGCCTTCTCGAATGCCTCTCGAAGGCCTCCGAAGGCCTCCGAAGGCCTCTCGAAACCCTGCGAGGCCTTTCGAAGGCCTCTCGAAGGCCTCCGAAGGCCCACTTCAGTCAAAACTGTAAGCATGCGCTGCAGGGATGCAAAGGCCTTGGCGGGCCAGGTCGAGGCTCTTCGAGCGCGGGCCTGCCCATCGAACGTGCTCGGGGATGGGCCGAAGACGGCCGAGGAGGCCGGGACGCAAAGGGCACTCTTGGGAAATCGATCGTCCTTCCTCTCAGCATTGGCACGTGTGTTGGCCCCGCTCCGTCCCGACGGAGGGCCGCACACCCTCGCGCGCGCATGCGCGTGGGCCTGCGCGAGCGCGGACGTGGACGATCCCCGGCAGCCAGCGGGCGTGGGTGTCGGAAAAGTACTCGACCTCTGAAGGGGAGGGGAGGGAACGCAGTCGGGAGGGAGGCCGAGGGAGGGGGGAGGGGGGAAGGGGGGGGAGAGAGCGGAGTGATGGGAGAGGAGAAGACGGAGGAGCAAGGAGGAGTGAGAAGTGAGGACGAGGAGAAGGAGGCAGAGAAGAGGGTGAGGCACGAGGAAGATCAGGAGAGAGATACACGGAGTAGAAAGGGGGATGTAGCGGAGGAGAGAGGAGAAGAGACTGAGGAGGAGGAGGAGGAGGTGGAGGTAGAGGGGGAGAGAAGAGGATCATAAAGGAGGAGGGGCAGGAGATGAGTAGATAGATGGTCACACGCTTCGTGGCCCCACGAGGCGGTCCGCCGAAGGCCCCAGTGGGAGGGCCCGCGCCACCTCGGCAGGCCCCTCGCGCGTGTCGCTGGCCCCACGGAAAGGCTCCACCGAAGGCCCCGGTGAGAGTGCTCGGCCGGCGCCGCCGCAGCTCTGCCGGCCCACCCCTCGCACGCCTCATGGCCACACTTTTTTTTGGTCGCGGCCGCGAGACAAAGGTCAGGCGGCAAGAGCAAAGTCCGGGACGCGAACGAGGCTAATTAGCTACAACAGGCACAGGCCGGCCGGCCCACTCACACAGCAGCCGCGAAGCTGAAAGGGGGAGCTGACGGCGGACGGCACCTCATGGCCACACGCGGAGCTCAACCGAGTGCTCCAGACAGAGGCTCCCCATCGCGCCACCAAGCCCATGGCGGCACGCCCTTCACACGTCGTCCGTGGCCCGTCTGCGAAGGGCCGCCCGGCGCGGTGCAGCCCCCAGCGGGCCTCGGGGGCGCGCGGGGTCTCGGGCCGCAGCGGCCGCGGCGAGGCGGACGACCCGGGCCCCCGACGTCTTTCCTCGCAACCTTCCTGTGTGTGCGGGTCCTCGGTCTGAATTCGCAGCGTCGCGCGTCCCCTCCTCCCCCTCCTCCCCCTCCTCCTCCCCCTCCTCCTCCTCCTGCTCCCAACTTCATCCACCTCCCCGCCTGGCCGCCCATTCCTGCACCACTCACACGTTTCGTGCCCCTCAGGGTGCTGCACCTAAGGCCTCAGCGGGGCGTGCTCGCATGGCGTACACCGCCCATGTCGGCACACCCCTCACAAGTTTTGCGCCCCCCAAGGAGGTCCGCTCATGGCCTCAGCGGGCGTGCTCGCATGGCGTCCCACCCCTCCCCGCCCACGTCGGACTTCGGGGCGCCCCTCACACCTTTCGTGCCCAACAGGGGATGCACCTATGGCACCAAAGGGCGTGCTCCCATGGCGTACCCCTGCCCATTTCGGCACATCCCTCAGAAGTTCGCGCCCAACATGGACCTGCACCTATGGCATTAGTGTGCGAGTTCGCATGGCGTGCCCCCGCCCATGTCAGCACACCTCTCACACGTTTCGTGCCTCACCAGTAGCTGCGCCTATGGCCCCTGTGGGCATGCTTGCATGGCGTTCCCCCCGCACATTTCGGCACACCCCTCACACATGTTGTGCCTCACTGGGAGCTGCACCTCTGGGCTCGGTGGGTGTCATCGCATGGCGTCCCCCTCGCAATGAGTCCACTGAGTCCCCCTCGCATGTATGTCCTCGTCCCCCTGGCCCGTTATACCTTCATCTATGTCGCGTTCATCGTCGCCTTCCCCTTTGCGATTCGATGTGTGAGATTGCGTGCGTGGCTGGGGGACTTTGTGCGCGGTCTGGCTGCACTTAGCGCAATTGTCAGGAATGGTGCAGATTCTTCAACGCGTTTTGCGGATTGAGCGGTCCCGTTTACAGCCGTCTTTCTATTTGAAAGTCTTGGATCCTGGGGGGACAGAACACCCATCGCGATGTTTGTCACGAGCCAGGGCTAGGGGAGCGGGGCATCTTGGGCGTTGCTGGCTGGTGGCGCGATAGCTAAAATACAGGGGGGGTGGAGAAGCGTGCACCCTTCGTCTGCTCTTTTGTGCCCCCCTAGGGGGCCTCTTCAGGGCACCTAGGTGGGCACAAGAGATCCACCTTTCTCCCCCCCCCCTCTTAGGAGGCAACTACTGGGATGTTTTCGTCGGAGAGATTAGAAAGATCCAGCCCCATTGGGGGGCTGCTACGCTGGAGTGGGCCTCGGATTAAGCCAGATTGAACGGGATTAAGCGGGATTAAGCCAGATTGAACGGGATCGAGCGGGATTAAGCCGGATTTCGGACCAGGGCAGAATCAGAATCTGACCTCCCAGGAGTTGCATCCGAACCCCTCAATGCACCGCCCCACCCGTTGCGCAACGCCCCCCGAGCCCCTGCTGCTGCCAAGGGGTCCGGGCCGCGGCACGCCCGCATCGTGTCGATTCCTGGTGGCGCGAGAACTGAGTACGGCGGGGGGGAGAAGAAGCGTGCACCCTCCGTGTGCTCTTTTGTAGCCCCCTGGGGGGCCTCCTCGGGGCACCTGGTCGGGCACGAGAGGTCCACCCTGAGGAGGAGGAGGAGGAGGAGGAGGAGGAGGAGAAGGAGGAGGAGGAGAAGGAGGAGGCGGGAGGAGGAGGAGTGGAGGAGTAGAAAGGGAGGAGGAGGAGGAGGAGAAGGTAGGAGGGAGGCGGAGGTGGAGGAGGAGGAGGAGGAGGAGGAGGAGGAGAGGAGCCTCCCCCCTCCCCCTCTTGGATGACGGCATGATGAGACACCAACGCGGGCTCCCCCGGAGAGCCCGCCGGGCGGGCGCCCCCTCGGGGCCCCTACGGGGCGGGCCCCGCCGGAGGCCCAGGGGCCGACGGGGGGGCCGCTGGGGCACGGGAGGGGAAGCATCCGCCCGAGGGGGGCGCCCCCCGCCCCGTAAGACCAAGGAGCCCCCCCCCCCGGAGGCCCCATGCCCATCGGGGATCTATACTGGCCTGGGACGATCCAGACCCTCGGATCCGCGCTAGACCCCCCCCAACGGCGCCTCCGGAGCCGCCCCTGGCGCGCTCCGCGCGCCAGGGAGGGGGGTCCAGCGCCGACCCGAGAAATCAATGCGGACCTCCAAGTTATAATGCTTATGTCATTCTTCGTTCCCCTCTTCCTGCGCCTCCTTGAGCAGGAGACGTCCGGAGAACACCTCGGTCCCGAAGCCTCCCGCGCAACGCGCGCCGAGAGCGCCCCGCTGGGCCGACGGCAAGGGTCGCCTAGAAACGGAACGAGTTTCGCGGGCGTGAATGAGGCCGACAGACGAGGAGGGGGAGGAGGAGAAGGTGGAGGAGGAGGAGGAGGAGAAGGAGGAGGAGGAGGAGAAGGAGGAGGAGGAGGAGGAGGAGGAGGGAGGAGGAGGAAGAGGAGGAGGAGGAGGAGGAGAAGGAGGAGAGTCCCAAGGAGCAGGAGGAGGAGGAGGAGGAGAGGGAGGGAGGCTGGAGGAGGAGGGGAGGAGGAGGAGAGGGTAATGGAGAGAGGAGGAGGAGGAGGAGGAGGAGGAGGAGGAGGAGGAAAGAGGAGGAGGAGGAGGAGGAGAAAGGAGGAGGAGGAGGAGGAGGACAAGGGAGGAGTAGCGAAGGAGGAGGGGGGGAGGGAGGGAGGAGGAGGAGGAGGAGGAGGAGGAGGAGGAGGAGGAGGAAGAAGGAGGAGATAGGAGAAGGAGAAGGAGGAGAAGGAGAATGAGGAGAATATGGAGGAGGAGGAGGAGGCGGGGGAGGGGAGGATGAGGAGGAGGAGGAGGCATGCAGGACGGGAGGAGGAGGAGGAGGGGAGGACGGAGGGGGGGAGGAGGGGGAGGGAGGAGGAGGAGGAGGAGGGAGTAGGAGGGAGGAGGTGGGAGGAGGGGGGAGGAGGGGGAGGGGAGAAGGCAGGAGGAGGGAGGAGGAACGAAAGAAATGATGGGTCATTCCGGAGGGGCGTCGATCCGAAGTTCTTTCTTAGAAAGGACACCAACCCACCCCCTTGGGCCGAGAGAGGCTCGCCTTCTGCCCGTCGGCGATCGCGGGGTAGGCGACGACCTCGCCAGCGCGCCGCGGGCTGGGGACGCACGAGCCGGGGATTGACAGTACGTCCTCGTTGGCGGCGTGCAGATGGGGGGCACAGTCGGCCTTGATTGGAGAGGACGCACGAAAGGACACAAGACCCTCCCCGAGGGGCACATCGCCATAGGAGTGTAAGAAGGCACATGCCGCGAGGCACAGGACACAAAGGTACCCTTGAGCTGGCAGGGTCGACCTACTAATCCGGGCCGACTGTAGAGGGAGGGGGGAGGCTTCTTGGAAGCACCCCCGCTCCTCAGAAAGCGCGGGCCTCGTCTGTAGATTGTCAATTGTGAGGCCGGCGCCTTCTGAGAAGCAGCCTCCTCCTAAGAAGCCTTCCCCACTTCCCCCTAGCCCCCTCTGCGCGTGGCCAATCCTTGCGCAAGACGCGGGGGGTGCGGAATGTATCATAGCTGGAGAGGCCCAGGGACACACAGAAGACACAAATCCCAAGAGTCTCCATATTTTTCCATATCTCATGGAGTCTAGCATTCTCCCCCCGCACTTCCGGTGATGTCCCATACAACCAGGGGAATCAACGATTATTCGTTTTTCCTTCCTGACAAGCAGGCGCGAGTAGAATAGCGGGGGCGGGTCCAAACGGCGGAGACTCTTTATGGTTTGCTCATCGGCCGTTTGATCCAAAAAGCGCGCCTCAGCAAGGGCAATTTCCCCCCGAACAAATGCCATGCATTTCCAGACAATTCTGGAAACAAGCCATTCTTGATACAAAATTGGCCTCCTGAAAATCGTGGGACAAACTCGGGCCGGAAAAAAAGAATATCTGAAATCAGGCGGTTTGGGACGATGCATCGGGAACTGCGGCCATTGCACAGCGCGCCAGAACACTCTGAGAATTTGCAACGCTCCGGAACGATTTCTATCCTGGGCCGTCCGCTTACAGTGGGAGCTGCCGGGGGGCACTCCACGGGAGCGCGCGGCACCGCTGTCCGAGCGCAGCAAGGCGGAGCGTCCCCAAACAAGCAAGCAGGTCCGGCAAGACACTCGTCGACCAGCAAACCCCACTGTGGACTGCAGACGACGACGACGACGAAGACGAAGACGACGACGACGACGACGACGACGACGACGACGACGACGACGACTACGACGAAGACGAGCAGGCGCAGGCCTTCTCGGTCGGCTGGTATGGGTGGGCCGTTCGGGGCGACACCCACCAGCTCGAGGCAGGGCGATTTTAGGCAGCGGCAGCTCAAAAAAACATCGAGCTCCGGGCACCTCCGTTATGCTGAATGTCAGCGGGGGTCCACACAGTCGAATGTTATGTGTTTAGGCAAGGGCAGCTCAACGATCGATCGAAAATAGTAGGGGTCCAAGCGCACCAGTGCTGTGAGGCCGCGCCCAGCCGTGGCGGCGAGGGGGGCCCGCCGAGGGGGCCCCGCTCGCGGTCTCCACTCGCCCTCCTCTCGCGCTGCGCACCGGGGGCGGTGGGGCTGGGCGGTCACGGGGGGCGGACCCAAACGTGGGATGGTCCACCCTGCTCCAGCCTTGATCACCAGAAAGAAGTTCGAGCGCCAGAACAAAAAAAAGTGCCGAAACTCCAGGGGTTCCACGTGTCGGGCCCTGGGGGGCACTCGTCCGACACTGTTTCGACACCCTTTCGACACCTTTCCCCGGGTGCTCGAAGTTACTTCTGGGATGTGGTCCTGAAGTACGCTGGGCGCAACATCAACCTAAACGGGGGGGGGAAGAGAAGGGGCCCCAACGGGGCCATCGAGGTCTTGGAGCCAGCAGGGGCCCTGAAGGGGCTCGACGTCGGCACGGCGCTCCCGACCAGGACCTTCTCCAGACTGGAATTGGAAACCGTTCTGATTCGATTTCGAACTGGCGCTCCCGCCCAGGATCTCCTCCAGAACAGAGTCCGAACCTTCCGTGGTCGAGTTCGAACCTACTATTGGGACCTTCGTTCTGCGCTGTCTGTGTGGAAGCACGAGATGAGTAAAAACTCTCGTAGCGCCGATGTGAAAGGCCCATCTTAACACCCCATGTAGGTCACCCCTCGGCAACACACAAGAATGACCCTGGGTAAGGGTGACCTTTTGTGCGCCGTCTTCTGGGGGCTGCAGGGGGGACCAAACGCAAGCGCGCAAGCCGCTGCCGTCGCATCGCGTTCGGCGATGGGGGGACACCAATGGGCCCGCACCAGAGGTCACTCCGTTGAAGTGCCAGTCTTACGTGTAGTCGACATTGGGGTTAGGGTTTCCCTTCTTATCCTGGATGACGACCCTCCTCGGAATCTGGTCCGCGTCGGTCCCCCAGGGCCTCTCCCCAGGCCCACCCCGCACGGCTTTCAGCCTCTGGCCTGGCTTCTGAAGCAGAGGGCAAAAAACAACCCCCACGATAACCACCCCGACAAGCGAGGCCGCTCAGCAAACGCACCCCAAAGGAGGAATCCGCAGGGCAGGGCTGTTCAGTACACGCCCAGGGCCGTTTAGTAAACGCCAGTGAGCGGGTCCGGGTGGAGTGTCCCCTCCCTTCTGAAGAAGGCCCCGGGGGGGGGGGGGTCCCGAGGCGGGCCCCCCCTGGGCGGCCGAAGCCAGGGGGGAGCACGCCCCAGACCGCAAACCGAGGAGCACCCGCCTCCAGCTGCGCGGCACGCCGCGGAGCCAGGGCTCGCGGCGCCAGGAATGGCGGGCTGTCGCCCGCCTCACTCGTCGCACACGGAGGGGCCGCAAGGTGGTGGCAACGCGAGCGCGCCTCCGCGCCTCCGCGCCGCCTCCTCCTCCTCCTCCTCCTCCTCCCCCTCCTCCTCCTCCTCCTCCTCCTCCTCCTCCTCCTCCTCCACCTCCTCCTCCTCCGTCCTCCTCTCCTCTGCCTGGCCTCCTCTCTCCCTCCTCCTTATCCTCCGCTCTCCCCCTCATCCCTCCCTCCCTCCTCCCTCCCTCTCCCCTCCTGCCTCTCATCCCTCCTCCGCCGCCTCCTACCTCCTCCTCGCCTCCCATCCTCCTGCCCTCCTCCTCCTCATTTCATCATATTCATCATCATCATCATCATCATCATCATCATCATCATCATCATCATCATCATTATCATCCTCATCCTCATCCTCATTCTCATCCTCATCCTCATCCTCTGCCTGCCTCCTCTCCCTCCTCTCCCTCCTCTCCTTCCTCCCTCCTGCGACAAGAGTCGTGCCGTGGCGACTTGCGCGTTGGTCCTGACACCACCTGGCTCACTCGACCCTGATCGATCTCGTCTTTCGCCTTTCCGATAGCGCAGATAGCTCGGTACTTGCCGAGCCCTGGGACCTGGCGGCGTTCCCCCGCGCCGAGGCCGCGGCCGCATCGACGCGGCGCGAACCTACCGTACTCCTCCTTCCTGTGCTCCGTCCTCCATCCCCTCTACCCCCTCCTCAAGAGACCCGATCCGACACAGGCCCCCCCCCGGAGGCCGAATTCAGAGGAAGACATCCCCAATCCAAGGTCGAAAAAGGTCCTCCTTCCCTCCCTCCCTCCTCCCTGGTCAGGACAAAGATGCCGAGAAGGTAACCCTCCGACATTCGATGTATTGAGCTGTTTAAAACAAACGTCGCCCCCGAAGTCCGGACAGTTTCCGAGGGCCCGCTTTTTATCCCGAGTCGTGTCTTGACTGCGCGTGTCACGTCGCTCGCATATCTGGAACTCCTCCCTAGAGGACTTCCAAATGGGGTCCGAACGGATGGGATCGGAGGATCGCGCCGCATCGCCGATGCATCGGTGATGCATCGGCGATGCATCACAACATCGGAGGCGACGTCGGCGAGGAGAACTTTAGGCTCATCATCCACCCGCATCCCGAGTCGGCGACATCTTCCGGCCCCATCTACTCCGACCCCAGCCGGGAGGCCTCGACTCCCTCCCTCCCCTCCCTCTGGTGTACTTGCCGTCTACCTCACGTGATCTCCCCTGCTACTCTACCCGTTCTGGCAATGGCAGGGCAAGCTACGCAAAGGCTGCAACTTAGCTGCCCAGGCCTGGCGAATTACATCGAACACGGACGGCCGGAGCGGTACACACTATAGATGCATCCTACGGCTGTAAATATCAACATTCGCTTAACAGTACTGTTGTCAGTACAAGTCAATAAACTAGACATGTGGGTATACATGCGTAAGCAGACATGTATATGTGTATGTAGATGTATATGTGTATATGTATATCTATATATGTGTATACTTGTGTGTACACACACATATATATATATATATATATATATATATATATATATATATATCCCTCCCCTCCGGGAAAGGGCGCAAGAGGCCCCCAAGAGGCCCTCGAGCAGAGCCAAGAGGCCCCGAAACGGCTCCCAAGAGGCAACCAGACGGCCCCCAAGAGGCCCCCGAGAGGTCCCCCGCGGCATCCCCACGAGCATCCCAGGCCCATGAACCACAACCCGGGGACGGTGGCGGGATGCACCGAGGGCCCTTCGGTGCCATGTGCAGGGCCCCCCTCCCGCCCCTCCGGGCCAGGGCGGCTCGGGAGGCGGCTCGAGGAGCCTGCTGCCCCCGGGGGGCCAGGGCGGGGGGGCCTCCCTCCCCCGACCTCTGCCTGCCTCGCCTCCCTGCTCGGGCCCTCCTCGGACCCAGACGTGCTCGCGCCATGGACAAGTCACGTCACGACGGAGGGTGTTTGACAGTCGTCGGCCTCCCGGGGCCCTCGCGGGGGCCCCGGGGGCCCAAGGAGGAGCAAAAAACGATCCGGGATGACAAACCGGTCCTGGGGAAAGGGTCGGGACTTCTGGGGACCCCGTGCTGAAAACACATTCTGGCGAAGCACCCAACCATATGCAGTTGTGAGCACCGTCGTTATATGCAACGCATTTGGAAGAACTCCCTATAGGGCCACGAAACGTGCGAGAGGCGAGAGCTGTGCAAAAAAATGTGCGGCGGGCGCATTCGCAGCAGCTACTGGGGCCTTCGGTGGAATCCCCTATCGGGCCACGAAACGCGTGAGAGGTGTGCCGAAATAGGTGCGACGGGCGTATGTGATCGCAGCCACTGGGGCCGTCGGTGGAGTAGCCACCATGCGGACTGCGCCACTGTAACCTTGGGTGGAGCTCCCTATGGGGCCACGAAACGTGTGAGGGGAGTGCCGAAATGGGACGGCGCCGCCACGTAGACGGCGCCACTGGGACCTTAGGTGGAGCTCCCTATGGGGCCACGAAGCGTGTGAGGGGTGTGCTGAAATGGGGCGGCGCCGCCATGCGGACGGCGTCACTGGGACGTGGGGTGGAGCTCCCTTATGTAGCCACGAAACGTGTGAGGGGCATGCCGAAATGGAGCGGCGGCGCCATGCAGACGACGCCAGTAGGACCTTAGGTGGAGCTCCCCATGGCGCCACGAAGCGTGTGAGGGGTGTGCCAAAATGTGGCGGCGCCGCCATGCGGACGGCGCCACTGGGGAGCTCCCTAGGGGGCCACGAACCGTGTGAGGGGTATTCCGACATGGGGCGGCGCTGCCATGCGGCAGGCGCTACTGGACCGTAAGTGGAGCTCCCCATGGGGCCACGAAACGTGTGATAGGTGTGCTGAAATGGAGTGGCGCCGCCATGCGGACGGCGCCACTGGGGAGCTCCCTGTGGGGCCACGAAACGTGTGAGGGATATACCGAAATGCGGCGGCGCCGCCATGCGGACGGCGCCGCTGGGACCTGCAGTGGAGCTCCCTAGGGGGCCACGAAACGTGTGAGGGGTGTGCCGAAATAGGGCGGCACCGCCATGCGGACGGCGCCACTGGGACCTTGGGTGGAGTTCCTTCTGGGGCCACGAAACGTGCGAGAGGCTTGCCGAAATGGGGCGGCGCCGCCATGCGGTCGGCGTCACTGGGACGTGGGGTGGAGCTCCCTTTATGTAGCCACGAAACGTGTGAGGGGTGTGCAGAATTGGAGCGGCGCCGCCATGTACTTGGCGCCACTGGGACCTTAGGCGGAGCTCCCTATGGGGCCACGAAGGGTGTGAGGGGCGTGCCAAAATGTGGCGGCGCCGCCATGCGGACGGCGCCACTGGGGAGCTCCCTGTGGGGCCACGAAACGTGTGAGGGGTGTGCCGAAATAGGGCGGCGCCGCCATGGGGACGGCGCCACTGGGACGTGGGGTGGAGCCCCCTTATGTAGCCACGTTGCGTGTGAGGGGTGTGCCCAAATAGGTGTCAATGATGGTGACGATAGCGGCGACGAGATGATGTTGATGATGACTGGTGATAATGAAAGTGCTAACGATGACGATGATGGTGATGATGATGACGATGATGGTGATGGTGATGGTAATGACGATGGCGATGGCAATGACGATGACGAGCATGAAGAATGTTGATGACGAAGATGATGAAGATGACGAAGATGATTATGTTGATGATGTTGATGGTGATGATGATGATGGTGACAAAGAATGGTGATGATCATGTTGATGATGACTCTGACGACAGTAATGGTGATGATGCTGATGATGATGATGCTGATGATGATGAAGACGATGACGATGGTGATGAGGGAGGGATGAGGGGGAGGAATGGGAGGAGGGAGGAGGCAGGAGGAATGAGGAGTGAGACGCGGGGCGCTGTAACTCAAAACCAAAGACCCAACACCACCAAATGGTTGGGAAACATTGCTGGATGGCTGAACAATCGTCCACGGTCGGGGACTGTTGCTTACCGTGTCGCGGAGGCGGCCTGACGACGCGATATGCCATGTGGTGCCGAAGCGTGGTGGGGCAGAACCGGCGGAGCGACACGCAAAGCAAACATTCCTGACTCCTGACCCTAATCTGCGCCACCTAGCACCCCCCCCTCCTCCCAGCGCACTTAAACAGCGAGACGCGTCATCCGACGTTCTACGACGATGCTCCCATGACCCCCACCCCCTGGGGGGGCGCCCCATGAGAGAGAGAGAGAGAGACAGAGAGAGAGAGAGTAAGAGACAGGAGGAAGAGGAGACAAGGACGAGGGGGGGGGGGCAGGAAATCCCTCCCATCTGTCCCTCCCCTCCCTCCCTTACCTCCCCTCCCTCCCTTCCCTCCCCTCCCTCCCTCCCTCCCTCCCCTCCCTCCCCTCCCTCCCTTCCCCCTCCCCCTCTCTCCCTCCATCCCTCCCTCCCGCTTCCCTCCTCCCCTCCCGCCCCTCCCTCCCCTCCCTCCCCCTCCCCTCCCTCCCTCCCTCTCCCTCCCCTCCTCCACCCCTCCCTCCTCCCTCCACTCTCCCTCCCTCCCCTCCCGCCCCTCCCTCCCCCTCCCTACCTCCCCTCCCTCCCCTCCCTCCCTGCCCTCCTCCTCCCTCCCTCATCCCCCCCCGTGCGTGGCCCCTGCCGCCCGCAGCCCGCGCCCTGGCCTTGCGCTGCCCCTGCGCCGCCGTGACCGCCAGCCCGCGGCTCAGGGCCTGCGCGGGCGCCGCCCGCGCCGTCGTCGACGCCGTCGCCAGCACCGGCGAAGTCCTCCTCGTCGTCCTCCTCCTCCTCCTCATTTCTCCTCCTTCTCCTTCTCCTCCTTCCTCCCCCGTCCTCCTTCTCCTCCTTTCCCCCTCGTCCTCCTCCTCCTCCCCTCCTCCTCCTCCTCCTCCTCCTCCTCCTCCCCTACTCCGTCCTCCTCCGACCTCTTCCGTCATCCTCCATCCTGCTCCGTCCTCCTACTTCGTCGTCCTCCTCCTCCTCCTCCTCCTCCTCATCATCATCATCATCGTCCTCCTCCTCCGCCTCCTCGTCCTCCTCCTCTACGCTGCGAGGGCTTTGGTGTCCGGGCCGTGGCGTCTAGCACGAAGTAGCAGGGCCAGCTCAGGCAACGAGCCCAATGCCATTTTCATAGTATGTCCATGGAGGCCAACCGTCAATGCTGGCGGGCATTGAAAACGAAAAAAGTGCTCAACCCCAGGATGGGGGAGTCAGAAAGTACGGATACCACTATTCCCTGGACCTCTCCCAAAGCGCGCTCGGACCAGAGTTTCGATGCGAATCGAACCGTGGCGACAACAGCCTCCAGAGAGGCCGGGGTAGCGGAATCGGCATCGCTTCCTCCTCTGATGGACCTGCTTTAGATATGGCGCCCACTGAGGTCCACCTCGACGCCGCGCGGTGGGCCGAAGGCAAGATACCACTGATCAACACTCGTCAGGGGCTTCCATCGTTTCGCGCCAGAGCGGCTACGGTGTGCTGTGCGTAGATGTCAATGAGGATGCTCTTCGATGTGTCTGCATCTGCCTCCCTACACCTGGCTGGATCGCCACAAGCAATTGGCAAAAGGTCGTAAGGTCCTCAGGGAACAACGAGGGCCACAGCATGCTGAGGCCCGCCGCAACGACTCGCCCACGCTGCTGCCCACCCGCTGCCGCTGCCGCGGCACCGATAGAGAGAGTGCGAACCGAAAGAGATCCTCGTCGAGGCCTCCGGAAGCTCTGGCCCGTGTGGGCTGCCAGAAGCTGACGAGAGCCGCGTCGGGGCCGTCTCTGGGGAATGCGCGGAGGTCGGGAAGCCCTCTGGCGGGGGGCGTGGAGGAGGGCAGGGAGGATCGTCGAGGATCGCGGCCTTTGGACGTCCCCGTGCCTCTGCGGGCCTCGGCCTGCGTCGCGAACGCCACGGGGGCCCCGGGCTGAAGGAGGCAGGGCGCCTGTCGGCTCCGCGCTGCCTTCCGACACTGCGTGGACCTTTTTTCGACAGGGCTGGACCTGAACGCTGTTATTCGTGTTGTGTTCGTTCCGTTGCTCGTGGTGCTCCACCCGTTGTCCTGCACCTCCCTGCCAAACCGACCAACGAAACACAACCGAAGTCGAGCAGAACAGCGATTAGGTCCCGCCCTGCTTTCAGCCTGGAACGATCGCGGTCATACGAAAGCGCACTTCGTTGGATCTTGGACGAGTGGCCGCTGGCGGCGTTCAGCCTCGAGCGTCTGCGACGCGGTAGTCGACGGGCAGACACGACCGGAACCTGCCGTTCTCGTGCGCTCACGGCGCGGACCATCATAGGCCTTACCAGTGAGGGCCACCATGAGGCCTCACACCCCTCTCGGTTTCCATCAGTGGAACTGCGGGGGTCGAACCAAATACCCACAAACCTGGCACGGTACGTGCAGTGCCAGGGGCGGCGGCCCGTCTTCCCATCTTACCATCATCGGGGGATGCGAAGTCCCTGAAGACGGGATGGGGTGGGCACGAGCGGGCATCATAGCCGGCTCAACATCAAAAGAGGCATCATAGCCTCATCAGTCTAGATTGGTCCACCCACGGATCCACTGCAATTGATTTCCATTGAAGTCATTCATGCGTAGCATTCTCTCCCCTAGTGGACCGTGAACGGGACCCAGTCCCCTGCCGGTCGTCTAGCGCCGCCATCATAGGCAACCAGAGGGGCCATCATAGGCACCTCGCAACCAATTCGGGGCCATCAGCAAGGCTCGTTTTGGAAGAAGGATCATCATAGGCCTTCGCGCTCAATTTGTTCATTGGACTCAACTTTTTCGTCGTCGTCCTCCTCCTCCTTCTCCTCCTCCTGGTCTCCACCCCATCGGAGCCGCGATGCAGTGCGGGCATCACCTCGGCCTCGATCGGGTCGTGCTCGTGAATTTCACGGTCTCCGTGATCATGGGTGTGTTCACGGTGCGTTTCAGGGAGTCCGCAATCGTAGGTAGGGTCGTGCTCGTGAATGTCACGGTCTTCTTGTTCATGAGTGTGGTCACAGGGCATTTCACGGAGTCCGCAATCATAGGTCTGGTCGTGCTCATGTGTTTCACGGTCTTCGTGATTATGAGCGCGATCACAATGCATGTCACGGAGTCCGCAATCATAGGTCGAGTCGTACTTGTGAATTTCACGATTTTCGTGGTCATGGGCGTGGTCACGGTGCGTTTCACGGAGTCCGCAATCATAGGTCGGGTCGTGTTCGTGAATGTCACGGTCTTCTGATTCATGAGTGTGGTCACAGTGCATTTCACGGAGGATGAGCACGACGGACGTTGTTGGTGGACGTCCGCCCTTGCCCTCTCTCCCCCGGTGAGGACCATCGTAGGCCTTACCAGTGAGGGCCACCATGTGGCCTCACACCCCTCTCAGTTTCCATCATTGGAACTGCGGGGGTCGAACCAAATCCCCACAAACCTGGCACGGTACGTGCAGTGCCAGGGGCGGCGGCCCGTCTTCCCATCTTACCATCATCGGGGGATGCGAAGTCCCTGAAGACGGGATGGGGTGGGCACGAGCGGGCATCATAGCCGGCTCAACATCAAAAGAGGCATCATAGCCTCATCAGTCTAGATTGATCCACTCACGGATCCACTGCATTTGATTTCCATTGAATTCATTCCATGCGTAGCATGCTCTTCCCGGGCGTCGTGCGTTTGCACAGAATGGACTCCCGGAGGTCTCGACCCTTTCCCCGGGACTGGCTTGTCATCCCGAGTCGTTTCTTGACGGTCCCTGGGCCCTGGGAAGGCCCCAAGAGGCCCCAAACCGTTGAGAACCTCCAGTCAGGTATCTTTCCACTACGCGAGGGTTTCTGGGGACCCAGGAAAGCCCTGAATCGAATCGATAACTCGGATCGGCGATCGAAGTGAATCGGATAGGCGAACATCGGCAGCCAAGTCGAGGGAAGTCGACTCGGCCGAAAGACCGGCAGGCTGGTACGACTTCCAGTGGGAAGCCGGCATCCACATCGGAACCGGCGGTCAAGGCGGCAAGGATGATGAAACAAGAAGGGGCGGCGGGTGCCTCAAGTGCAAGGCGCGACCCTGATGAGGGGAGAGCTTCCTACTGAAGGGGCGCAGTACTCTTGGCACTGCTGCTTCGCATTGCTGTGCAGTGCCCGAGAAGCCGACGAGCAAGACCATGGGCCCTGGGGCCCGAGGAGCCTGAGGTATGGGGGCTCGTGCACGCCCCTCTCCCTGGAGAGCAGAAGGTGCACCCTCACAAGAATCGCACCCCGAGGAGCGAGGAGCCATTCGGCAGGCGCACCCGAGGCAGGAGTCGAATCGGGCAGGGCTGTCCAGTCCACACCCAGGGCCGTCTAGCAAACGCCGCTTGTCGGGCCGTCTAGCAAACGCCGTCTAGCAAACGCCTTGACCCCCCCCCCCTGGGGCCTCCTCCTCGCCGCCGCGTCGCCACCTGGAGCTGCGGCTGCCCGCCGATCGGAAGCTCCTCGCCCGAGGGGTGGGGGAGGGGGGGGGGGGGGGGGGGCCTCCTCCTCCTCCTCCTCCTCCTCCTCCTTCTCCTCCTCCTCCTCCTCCTCCTCTTCCTCCTCCTCCCCCTCCTTCTCCTCCTCCTCCTCCTCCTCCTCCTCCTCCTCGTCGCCCTTCATCCCTCCTCCTCCTCCTCCTCCTCCTCCCTCCCCCCTCGGGGGGGTGCGGCAGCGAAACTCGGCACGATCTCGCGGCCCCCACGAACTCCACTAGCCGGGCTCTTTGGCGCAGCGATGGCGATCGCGCGTCGCGCCAGTATAGCCTCGCTGCCCACCTGTTGACCGCCCCCCTCATTACGCAACGCCCAAAGCCGATGGGGGGAAGCGGGCCGGGAGAGACAAGGACAGAAGGCCAGACAAGCTTGTAACCCTCAAGCGGCCCGCGCCGCCGCTGGCAGCTCAGACGGCGGAACTGCTATCAGCCAAGCTGGAAGCCAATCAGCTGCCGTGCGAAAGACGGCCTGAACATGCACGCCCAGGGTTGCCGGCGCGCACAAAGGACACGAATTCTTAGAAAGAAGCTCGGGGATTTGCTGACCTGGGTCTGTCCAGATCCAGGTCAATAAGGCCTTGCATGATCCTGCAAAATCCTGCAAGATTCTGCAAGATCCTGCACGCAATTCCGGGTCAATGCACCCCTGGCTCTGCAAGATCCTGCAAGATCCGGCGCTCTGACTGACCTCCCGTGTGCAGCAATCCCGTCTCAAGGCTCCCGAGAGGCTGCTTCTCAGAAGGCACTGGCCCTTCCATCTGTAGACAAGGTCCTCACCTACTAAGGAGCGAGGAGGAGCGAGTATGAGGAGGAAGAGATAGGAGGAGGAGGAGGAGGAGGAGGAGGAGGAGGAGGAGAAGGAGGAGGAGGAGGAGGAGGAGGAGGAGGAGGAGGCGAGGAGGAGGAGGAGGAGGAGGAGGAGGAGGAGGAGGAGGAGGAAGAAAGAGAGGAGGAGGAGAGGAGGAGGATAGCGAGGAGGAGGAGCGCGGGGAGGAGCGAGGATGAGGAGGAGGCGGAGGAGGGCGGGAGGAGGAGGAGGAGGGAAGCAAGGAGGAGAGGAGCGGAAGGAGGAGGAGGAGGAGGTAGAGGAGGAGGAGGAGGGGAGGGGAGCAGAGGAGTGAGAGGAGGAGAGGAGGAGAGGGAGGATGTGGCTGGGAGGAGCACCGCGGCCTC